GTGTCCCATTTTGATAATCAGAACTGTTCAATGTGTAGAACTCACCAAGTACTATAAGTTTGTATAAAATCACGTTGATCGGATATCGATAACTATCTGATCGGATTAGTTTTTTGTCAACCATTGCTTTGTGTAACACTCACTTTTTTTTTTATACAAACTAATTTGATCATATAGTTATCGATATCCGATCAACGTGATTTTTTACAAGCATATAGTACTTGATGAGTTCTACACATTGAACAGTTCAGATCATCAAAACGGGACCCGTGATGGGCCTCCACGAGTCAAATAACAGTGTCCTATGTAAATTTTGTGTGCACCCGCTTGACGAGTTCGTACCATCACTTCAAACCAAAACATCACTTCAGCTAAAAAGTTAGCTTGTACTTTTTTTGGGGAAATTTATTTTTTTTATATATATTTTTTTGTGAATAGTGATTACTTTTTGGCTTTTTAAATAATTTTTTGGCTTTTTGACTTTTTTCAAACATGCCAAATCAGCCCTTAAGAACAGTCCACATTAACTTCAAGTGAATAATGCTAGGGATCATGAAAAAAAATATCATGAAATGTATCATGAAGATTTTTCAACATTTGATTAGTGTATTGTGTTTTATTGTATGTATAATATAAAGGTGAAAAATCTTTCATGATCATTTTCATGATATTTTCTTCATGATTTCTAACATTACTCGTATATGCAACATTCGAGGACAACTATACTTTCCCTTTCCCCTTCTCATCCACCAGTTTCAAAACAAGAATGTGGTGTTTTGGAAAGTTGGTAAAAAGTTAATTTTTTGACTTTTTTAGTCTATTTTGTCTTTTTGTGGATAAAATATGTGAGAGATGATATGATCCAAAATAGGTAAAAAGCTAAAAGCTAACTTTTTTTTTCCCTTCTCAAAACACCCCAAAATTAATGCTATGTTTGGATTGAGTGATTTGGAGAGAAAAGAAAAGAAATGGAGAGATACTATTACTTTTATTTGTTTGGATAACATAAGTTGAGAGAAATATGGAGAAACTCATTTATCTTTAACCTTTATTTTCAATCTTCCAAAAAGTGGAGAGATTGGGAGAGAAAAGAAACTAATATTTTCGTAATACCAATTTTGTCCCTGTAAAAATAAAAGAAATAAAATGATTTAAAATATAAAAATATTATTTTGGCAATATAATATAAAACAATTTCTTTTATTTTCTCTTATTAAATCTAGCCAAATATGAAGGAAAGAAATTACAATAAATTCTTTTCTTTTATTTCTTATTTATTCAAATAAAAAGGAAAAAAATAACAATCATTTTTTTCCTCTTATAAATGAAGTAATCATTTTATTTCTTTTTATTTTATTTTATTATTTCCCTACGTTTCCAAAGATAGTTTATAATAGTGGTGTTATACATCCATGTCCTGACTTCCCAGTTTCACTGTCACCTCACCGCCCTCCCTCATGGCTTCCTCCATTCTGAATTCATTCTTACTACTCTTCTTCTTACTCTCTCTGCTCTTCTTCTCCACAACATGGGCTCTCAACTCTTCTTCTTTTTCTTCCACCACTACTTCTCTAGATTCCCATCTCTCTTCTATAAGATCTGTCTGCAAATCCACACCATACCCAGATGTCTGTTTCGACTCACTCAAGCTCTCCATTTCAATAAACATAAGTCCCAACATCCTCTCCTCTCTCCTTCAGTCCCTTCAAACAGCTTTATCCGAAGCTGGAAAGCTGTTCAATCTATTTTCCCAACTGGGACCCTCCAACATCATTGAGAAACAGAGGGGAGCAGTCCAGGACTGCAAGGACCTCCACCAAATAACAGTGTCTTGTCTGCAGATATCAGTGTCCAGAGTCAACTCAGCTAACACCCAAAAACTAGCCGATGCGAGGACCTTCCTCAACGCAGCCCTCACCAACAAGAACACTTGCTTAGAAGGCCATGATTTCCCATCGGGTCCTCTGAAACCGACCCTGGTGAACTCCATAATCACCACATACAAGCACGTCAGAAATTCTCTCTCAATTCTCTCTGGTTCCAATTTTGAACCACCGGCCGCATTGAATGGCCATAACAAGCGCCGCCGTCTCATGGGTATGGGTTTTCCGGAATGGGGGGTTTCAGGGAAGGACCGCCGCATCTTGCAGAGTTCCGGCGACGCATATGATCCGAGCCAGGTGCTCACGGTGGCCGCGGATGGAAGTGGAAACTTTACTACAGTCACTGATGCTGTTAATTTCGCGCCAAACAACAGTGATGTGAGAATAATTATACAAGTGAGAGAAGGGGTGTTTATGAGGAGAATGTGGAGATACCAAATAACAAGCCCAACATTGTGATGTTTGGAGATGGAAGCGATGTTGAAATGGAAATGGAAATGGAAATGGAAATGTTTGGAGACGGGCAACAGAAGCGTGGTGGATGGTTGGACTACTTTCAGATCAGCCACTGTTGGTAAAGTTCCAACCTTTCTGCAAAATGGAAATGGAATCCACTTTCATTTTTGTTTTGGTACAACCTTTCATTTCTATTTCTATTTCTATGGTAGAACAGAGTCCATTGTGAATAAGGTCAAGCTCAACTTGACAAGAACTCGTTTGAATTTAATTTATTTTTATTTTTATTTTTTGGCGTTTGAATTTGAGTTTGAAATTGTTAAAATTTTAATAAACAAGTCCAAACTTACTAAAACTCGACTCGTTAAGTGGCTCGTTTAATATTTATTATTTATATATTAAAAATATAAAAGTATGTATAGAAAATAAGATAATTATGTTATTTATATATTTAAAAAATGTAAATATAAATAATAGTTAACTGTAGATAATACATTTATATAATAGTAGTGCTAAAATTATTATTTTAGTAAAATATTGACTTTTTTAAGTTTATTTATATATATATTGTATATAAAATTATATAATCAAAATTTTAATAATAACTTTAGTCTTATATGCAAGTATGAATTCATAATTTTTTTGGATCGTTAAAGCTGTTAAATAGGCTCCAGCTCTAGTCAAGCTTAAGTCAATTTAACTTGAGTTCAATTCGTTAAATTTTTCTTGAACTCGAGTTCGAACTCGTTAAAATATTAATAAACAAACCTAAACATATTAAAATTCAGTTTGACTCATTTGTAGCCCTATTTTAATACCTTTATTGTGGGGCCAAAAAAATACCTACAATGGGAAAAAAAAAAAAAGGAAAAATTGCAAGTGAGGTTTAATTTTTAAAAGTAATTATACATTCATGAAAAAATTTATGATTCTAATAATTAAAATTTATAAATTTTATCATGATCTGAATTTTTTTTTAACCAATACACTGATTTATTATTTCCCAAAAAATTTAATACTCTAATAATGAATGATTTATTTTTTATTTTTTAAATCTAATTAATCTAACCATTTTTTAAATTGAACTCTTGTTTCTAACGCACGACATTAAAAAGAGAACATGGAATTGATAACTATGTTTGGGAAAAAACTCATGTTTCCACTGCTTGGAAGGAACAAAGTAACGCCGGATAATACCCTGCCCAAGACACTCATCTTTTGTTCATGCAATGCAGCAAAGTTTGTTTCTTAATTAAACTAAAATTTGAAGTTATTCTTGTTTGCCTCCCTTCCCAATTCTAATGTCAGCTGTCTCCGGGGATGGGTTTCTGGCAAGTGACATAACTTTCGAGAACAGGGCTGGACCCGAGAAGTACCAAGCAGTTGCACTGCGCATCAACGCGGACTTAGCAGCAATGTACAAGTGCACCATAATCGGTTACCAAGACACACTCTACGTCCATTCCTTCAGACAATTTTATAGAGAATGCGACATTTATGGGACCATTGATTTCAGATTTGGTAACGCAGCCGTTGCTTTCCAGGCATCCAACATAGTATCAAGAAAGCCCATGCCGGGGCAGTTCACAGTGATCACTGGTGCACCATAATCGGTTACCAAGACACACTCTACGTCCATTCCTTCAGACAATTTTATAGAGAATGCGACATTTATGGGACCATTGATTTCATATTTGGTAACGCTGCCGTTGCTTTCCAGGCATCCAACATAGTATCAAGAAAGCCCATGCCGGGGCAGTTCACAGTGATCACTGCCCAGTCCAGGGACATTCCAGACAAGAACACTGGGATATCCATACAGAACTGTTCCATTGTGGCTGCAGAGGACTTGTACAACATGAATAATTCCGGCAGCAGCAAGATCAAGAGCTATCTGGGGAGGCCGTGGAAGGTGTACGCTCAAATGGTGTATATTGAATCGTACATCGATGAATTCATCGACCTGGCAGGGTGGACGGAGTGGCCTTCTAGTGATCCTCAAGGAGGCTTGGACAGTTTGTGCAATGGAGAATATGAGAATAGTGGGCCGGGTTCGGGGACTGAGAATCGAGTCAGTTGGGCAGGGTACCACGTAATGGATTACTATGATGCCTCTAATTTCACAGTGTATGAGTTTATAACTGGAGATGAATGGCTGGATTCTACTTCCTTCCCTTATGATGATGGGTTTTAATCTAATACTATATAATAATGTTTTTTTTTTCTTTTTAATTCATAATGTGTTTGTCACCGTTGGTAATTTGATGAGTACAGTAAAATGTACGTACCTGATAGTCATGAAAAAAATTAAAAGAGAGAAGTTATGAGATGATTGAAGGATTGAACAAGTGTTTAATGTTAGTTCAAAAAAAAAAAAAGAACAAGTCTTTAATGTAATTTATGCTTTATGACTGATGCATGCTTTATAATTGTCGGTGGTGGGATAATCAACCAACCAAGCTTGTCCCCAGTCAATTTTTTGGACAAAATGAATAGGAGCGTTTTTGTCGGTGTGGGTCCACTCGTATTCCATATGATAATTGAAAAAAATTAAATTAATTACACAATAAGAATTACTTAATTGGCTCATATTTTGATTAATTTTATTTTTTTATATAGCGTGATGATTGTTTTGCATCAGTTCTATTGAAGAGCTTGACATCATGGCTTTGCAAGTAGCAGCCTCTCATCCCTCACCATGGTCAATCTAGCTACTGTTGCCGGGTGAAACATTTCACTTGAGCATTGAAGTTGGCACTTGAGTATTCACTATGATTGATGATTATTAGAGAAATTTGTTGAATTCACCCATGTGTGGTGATCATCCAAGTCAAGTTTGGTTGGCAACAATGGGAAGGCAACCAACCAAAGTCCACCTTGGCGGCCACCAACCATCTTGAAGAGTCAAGGATGGAGGCTGCCCAAAGGCTCTCCCACCTACTCCCTCACCTATAAATGGAGGTTGAGAGGAGAGAGCAAAATGTGAGCAAACCGTGAGACAACAAAGAGAGTGAGAGATGTGAGGCGGAGAGACCGTCTCCCTCGGTGTGAGCGAGGGAGACGGGTGAGTGGCTGAGTGAGGAGAGTGTGAGCTCCTCCTCTATTGTAATCTTTCTGTAATCTCCTCATTGGTATAGTGATAACCGGTTACTCTCCCGTGGACGTAGGCATTGGGCCGAACCACGTAAAATATTGTCTCCTTGTGTGTGGGTGTGTTTTTCTGCTTGCAATGATTTCTATAAGGTCTTGGGCGGGATCCCAGATCCCAACAAGTGGTATCAGAGCCTCGTCGGTGGCGTTTCGGAACAAAAACAGCGTGTTGTCCGAAACTGCCCAGAAATCAAGTTGCTCGAAATCAGGTTTTGAGCATACCAGGAGCAAGGGCTCGAGAAGAGGAGTCCAACCATATAAAGCAGACACCCAGAGGAGGTCCCACGCGCCCTCACGCGCTACCTGAAGAAGGAGAGTGAGGCCCAGTCGCTGCACGCGTCCCCACGCGCCGTTCAGGCAACCGGCGCGTGGTCCCAGTCTCAAGCACGCGCTCCACGCGCGGCTGAAGGAAGAAGGCAAGTGGGGAGAGGCGCGTGTGTGGCACGCGCGTGCCACGTCAGCAGCCACGTCAGCAGCCACGTCAGCAGCCACGTCAGCAGCCACGTCAGCAGCCACGTCAGCAGCCACGTCAGCAGCCACGTCAGCAGCCACGTCAGCAGCCACGTCAGCAGCCACGTCAGCAGCCACGTCAGCAGCCACGTCAGCAGCCACGTCAGCAGCCACGTCAGCAGCCACGTCAGCAGCCACGTCAGCAGCCACGTCAGCAGCCACGTCAGCAGCCACGTCAGCAGCCACGTCAGCAGCCACGTCAGCAGCCACGTCAGCAGCCACGTCAGCAGCCACGTCAGCAGCCACGTCAGCAGCCACGTCAGCAGCCACGTCAGCAGCCACGTCAGCAGCCACGTCAGCAGCCACGTCAGCAGCCACGTCAGCAGCCACGTCAGCAGCCACGTCAGCAGCCACGTCAGCAGCCACGTCAGCAGCCACGTCAGCAGCCACGTCAGCAGCCACGTCAGCAGCCACGTCAGCAGCCACGTCAGCAGCCACGTCAGCAGCCACGTCAGCAGCCACGTCAGCAGCCACGTCAGCAGCCACGTCAGCAGCCACGTCAGCAGCCACGTCAGCAGCCACGTCAGCAGCCACGTCAGCAGCCACGTCAGCAGCCACGTCAGCAGCCACGTCAGCAGCCACGTCAGCAGCCACGTCAGCAGCCACGTCAGCAGCCACGTCAGCAGCCACGTCAGCAGCCACGTCAGCAGCCACGTCAGCAGCCACGTCAGCAGCCACGTCAGCAGCCACGTCAGCAGCCACGTCAGCAGCCACGTCAGCAGCCACGTCAGCAGCCACGTCAGCAGCCACGTCAGCAGCCACGTCAGCAGCCACGTCAGCAGCCACGTCAGCAGCCACGTCAGCAGCCACGTCAGCAGCCACGTCAGCAGCCACGTCAGCAGCCACGTCATCTGCCACGTCATCCGCAGGAGGAGGAATCCTGTGTTTCGCGGCTACGGTGCAGCCGCAGATCTGAGGCGTACAAAATGTTTTGGCTAGATCGAAGCCATTTGGAGTCCGTTTTTGGTGATCCAATAGTGGTTTCCGACTATTTGGAGTATTCCGGACACATCCGTACGGTCAGATTTTGGAGATGGAGTTTGAGTGAGAGAAGAGCAAGCCACAGAGAGTGAGATATGTGAGGCGGAGAGACCGTCTCCCTCGGTGTGAGCGAGGGAGACGGGTGAGTGGCTGAGTGAGGAGAGTGTGAGCTCCTCCCCTATTATAATCTTTCTGTAATCTCTCCATTGTTATAGTGATAATCGGCTACTCTCCCGTGGACGTAAGCATTGAGGCCGAACCACGTTAAATATCCACAGAATGGCCCTTTACCCAGCTCGACCCAATTTATATATAAATTACCCTCTCAACTACCACCATCAAACATAAAAAAATATTTTTCCTGGAAGATAACTCTTGAATTTTTTATTTTTTATTTTTTGTATAAAATATTTTTCATTAAAAAATATTTTTCGTTCAAATAAACGGAGTGTAAATTCGAACTATGTGAAATATTACAAAATTAAATAAGAAAAATTAAAGAGAGAATGAACTATGGAGAATAACTGACAAAAATGTTGATAAATCCTTTTAGATGTCAAGAAAAGAAAAAGGAAATTCCTGAAAAAAGAAAACAAGAAATGTATACCATGAAATAAGAGGGTAGAAAGAGGGGCATAGTAGCAATTAAATAAATAAAAAAAAACCCAATCCAACAAATACTTATATAGAGTTTAAGGCCTCATTTGGAATATGCTTTCTTAGTAATTTTTTAATTTTTTTGTTAAAATATGATGTAAAAAAATTAATATATTTGAAATGATTTTTTAATTTTTTATGAAAAAATATATCAAAAGTAAATAGAAAATGAAATTTTTAACCTTTTGATATAAATTGTTAATTTTTTTTAATTTTTTAATAATTTTTTAACTTTTAAATTAAAAAATAATATTATCAAACGGGGAACCGATAATTTTTTTTTGTTTTTATTTTTTTAAGAAATAAATCAGTGCTCAGAGTACAGACGCCTCGTGAAAATATTCGAATCTGCCAATTAGAACATTCCGACCCAAAATGCGAATCAACGGCTATAAATTCCCCTTTCTTTTTTCCTCTACCCTGCCACCATTCACGCCGGGAATCAACCATTCCGGGCAACGTTCTCTCTCTCTCCCTCTCTCTCAAAATATCTGTCCTCACCCTCACTTTCTCTCTCTAAATCGTTGGCAGATTCCATTTCTGGGTTTTGCTGGGTTTTTGATATCTTTTGGCGGGTCTGAGTTGGAATTTTCATAGTCCTGTGTCTGTATATACAAATTGTAAACATTTGTATGTACAGGTATGGTGATGACGGTGGCGTCGCCGAGGAAGTCGATAAACACGGTGTTCCAGAGAGTTGGGGTCTATGGATTTGGCGGGAGCAGCCAGAAGAGACGCAAGTATGACATTCAGGATAGTGATGATGAAGGGACGATGGAGATGATGCAGATTGGCGCCGAGAGGACCAAGAATGTGCTGATCTTGATGAGTGACACCGGCGGAGGCCACCGTGCCTCGGCGGAGGCGATTCGGGACGCCTTCAGACTGGAGTTTGGGGACGAATATCGGGTATTTGAACTCATTTCCTCTTCTGGGTCTTCATGGATTCTCATATATTGTGTATAGTATGCAAGTACTACTTTGATGTTGGAATGTTCTAATCGGAGATTTTGTGGTTATGTGGAGTTTCTTCTGAGGTCATTTATGATTAAATTGGAGTTTGGTGATGAGTACGAGGCAATTGAGTTGAAACTTTCTGGGTTTTCTATGGGTACTCTTTAGTGTTGTTTTTACTTCCTCATTCTGATGTTCTGCTCTTATAATTAATTTAGGGAATTTTTTTTTTAAGACTCTCCCTGATGGAATGAATTTTCTTCACTTCAGTTTTTGACCTTTTCCCGTTCAAATCAATGGTCAATTAACAAGAAATTATGTGTTTATGGAGTCTCTTCTGAGTTCATTTGTGATTAAATTGGAGTTTGGCGATGAGTATGACGCAATGGTGTTGAAACTTTTCCTAGTTTTTCATTTTTTTTATTAGATAGTTTTGTGTTTAGTTCCTCTGATTTTATTTTGTTGTCCTGTTTTTTCATGATTTGATCTTCTGCTCTTGTTATTGATGCATCTATTATGGACAATCCCATTCAAGTGTCTTCAAGTCTAATACATAAAATTTTATAATGACAAATGTTAACTAAATGCTTGTGAGATTTTTATTTTTTATTTTTTATACCATTAGGTTACTTGGCAATATATTATTTGCTTTCATTAATGTCTAATTAAAATAACTATTTGGTGACGAAAATGAGAATTTTTGGCGACAAAATGTTGTTTTATTAGTGACAAAAAATTATGACTTTTGAAGACGAAAAATTTCGTCATCTTTACATCTTATTGTGACGAAATTATTTCCTCATCAATGATCAACATGCGTGACAAATTTATTCGTCAACTAAAGTTATAAATATGGTATTGAAAAACTATTTGGTGACGAAAATGAGAATTTTTGGCGACAAAATGTTGTTTTATTGGTGACAAAAAATTTCGTCGCTGAAGTAATTTCATTGGTGACGAAATTATTTTTCATCACGTTGGTTTTTAGTGACAAACATTCAATGACGAAACCGGTGACAAAAATATTTCCTCACAAATATCTATAGTGACGAAATTAGCTCTTTGAAGACAAAAAAATTTCGTCACTCAATGCCAACTTGTTGTAGTGTTTTTCCGAAAAACTTGAGACTCCTTATAGTAAAAACTGATCAACTATTAGTATTAATTTGGTTCGTATTGAATCATCATTTAATCATGTTTAGTAAATTTAAAATTTTAAAAATTAAAAATAAACATTTATTACATGGGGCAGAATCCCATTGGGTTAAACATTTTGACGGTAACTTAATCATAACTATTTATTAAATTTTATATAAAAAAAATTGAACATTAAAAATACTTATCTTATTCTACTACAAAAAAAATTAGAAAAATAAAAGCATCTAACTTTTTTTTTCTAGATGGTGAAAACACCTAATTGAATATTAGCTAAATTAATTGGCATATGTGGTCATGATCAATTGGGTCTGATATTTGACTATATCTCAATCATAACTATTTGATTATAAAAAATATAATAAATACAAAAAATTTAAATTTTTCATAACCATTAGGGTATTTATCCTGTCACCCAAGGTTCACTAAAAAAATTTAAAAAAATTCTTATTGCATAAGGACCCAACAAGATAATGCCTAATTTTGATATATCAAAAATCTTGAATCACTACTAATCTAAATCTATCTTCTTCTTTTTTTAATCAGCAACAAAAGAAAACTTCTATCAAAAAAGGAGAAGAAAAAAAAAAGATGTAGAAAGGAGGACAAAGAAGTCCTCAAAAGCAGAAAACAAAAATCTAAGATTCACACATACACTTCCCATCACTAGAAATTAAGAAAGGTGGAATCCCCCTAAACAGGAGAGCCACTGAAGCCCAAAACGATACTAAAAATGTGATTTTCTCCCATGTCTAGATCTACCTTATACTACTACTGATTTTCTCCCATATTTAAATCTATCTTACACTGCTACAAATTGCCACATATTATAGGCCTTATGTTGTTGGGTCCTTATATCAAAATCTACTGGCACCATCATATTATATTCACACCACAACTAAATTCACATCTCTCTTTATCTTTCAAATTTTAGTTTTATAACAAATTTAAATATTTTTAATAAAATATTAAAAACAATGAGAAATATAAATTAAGATTGTGCAAAATACACATATTTTAAAAGGTTTCCTTATTTTTTAATTATAAATAAAATTTTGACACTCCCGTGCATAGCACAAATTTTATGCTAGTAATAGTATATGCACACGGTATACACAAATAGGGGTGTATCATGTAGCCTGACCTCAATTTTAGATCTTGTATACATATTCTATATCCTATCACTCTATCTCGCCCTTCTTAGCACTCTGATCTCATTATAATATGAATTTAATGTAATTTATGTATGTTTTTATTAGACTTTCAAAATTTAATTTTTTTAATTCAAATTTTAACTATGCGGGAACACCAAGAAGGCGGGATAAAAAAATTAAAATATTGATTTTTATCAACACACAAAAAAATTTGAATAGTATCACTATTAAATGGATAGTTTTTTACTAACACCAAAAAAAAAAAAAACTTATTATTAACTAGATACATTTACTAAAATAAATTAGTACAAAAATATAATCATATTTTATAAGTGATTCACTTAAAAAAAATTATAATAATCAACATAAGAGACCAATCTTTTATTTTTTCTAATAAAATTTCACTACTTTTAGAAAGGGAAAAAAAATGTCCATCATATAATATATTATTTGTTTGTTGCAAAAAAAATTTCACATGTGCGATTACCAATAACTTTTTGTACGGGAGAGAAATGTTCGCCTCACTCTGTACCTCTTTGCTACCAAGCTCGTCTCACTCCGTTAAGACTCCGTCACATTGCGAACAAAACAAAAGTGAGCTACCTAGTGGGTGGGTTTGCCAGAAAACCCCTCCGATGGTCAAGTTAGCTTTATTTTGGAGAAGAGAAAAGGCAGAGCACTCTTAGAAGAGAGAAAATTCAAGATTGCTTCAGGTTGCTTACCTTCAACGTCTGTATGCTCCTCATTTTCAAGGCTGGTAATGTAGCCTCAGAGATTGTGGGCGCACTTCCTTTGTTGTCCTTCTCTGGACAGGCAGTTGTGCTCCCCACTACCTATTTTACACGTGTAGATATCAAAACCTCCAAACAATATTTGTCGCACGGCCAAATGGTATTGATGCATACCAGGAGTGGATTCCTCTCTTCTCATCATTGGCCCATGTAGAATATTAAACCGAGCTATTACTTGGTGAAACATTAAAATTATGTCGGATAGCTACTGCCTAGCAAAACCAAACTCGTCATTAGAACTGGTCGAGTATGGGGCGCGCCATTCGGTATCTCGGCCCCACACATTGATCTTATGGGCCATCTCTGTCCCATATCTGCAGTCCGAACCATCCATAGCTTGACCCAATGCATTCGTGCGAACTTAATCAAATACCCTATTCTGCGTAATCTTAGCTTGGCTAAGCACCTGCGTGTCATCACGTTCAGTGCGGAACTAATTCGGCCCCGCAATGTGCCCAGGTTCAACTTACACAGCCCTCGCAAAGATCTGTGCCAGAGTAGTTCAACCACTGTTCGACACAAATCTCCCTCTCAATTGCCCCTTTATCCCATCCGAGCAGATCGTGAGTGGGATTACCTTTTATGACCGAGCTATTCATTTTGGCCGGTCGATGAGACTTGTGCCGGTTGTCTTGTCATCCATCAGTCGGCCGCACTGACATCCCATCATTCGTACTGACAGTCCGTCACCTCCATGCCACATGGCATTCTTCCATTCGCATCGTGCAACCCCATAGTTATCATCCTTATGTCAAAAATTCAAAAGGTTGCCGCCCCTTCGTTTTTCCCCCCATATATGCGCGCAAGAGGACTAATGACCCCCATCACTGTTCATCTTCTTCCTTGTCTAAAACCCTAAACCCCTAAACTTCTGCCAGCACTGTTATCACTACCGTTGCTCCTGTCAACATTGTGCCCAGTGTTTTCCATTGTCTAGGTTATTGCAACAGAGGGCAAGGTCGATTGAACCTTGATTCGACTCCCAATCCATAAGTTCTTCTTGCTTCTGACTTTTTTCCATTGTTGTTCTTCATGTTCTTCAGGTTTTTTCATTTTTCTTCATTCGGGATTGTTGAAACATTGTCGATGCCCCCCTTGTGGGGTAAAATTGATAGGCAATTGTAGAAATTAGGTGAAACTGGAATTAAAAACGCACATGGGGCCATCATACCTCTTATTATCCTTGGTTTCAATGTATGAACTTCACATTTAGGATGAATAAAATAAACCTTGGGAAAAACCAAACAAAATCCCATTTTTAGATCCGAAAACACGGTCAGACCAAGCTAAAACAAGTTTCTGCCATGGGGCGGTGACCGTGCTAGGGCTTTGTAGGGGCCTTGAGCTGAGAAGAGATTAGGATGAAGGTCCAAAACCAGCCAAACATCTTAGGCCCCATAACTGAACTAAAACGTGAACTGAGTTAAAACTAGAGGATAGCGGAACTTTCTTAGGCTCCATAGCTGTGCATTTTCTACCGCACTAATACTTGCACTTATTTTTTAATAATTCAGAGCGAACTAGGACCAACTAGGCACATT